AGATGCTCCTGTGTCGTGAATGGCGGCCGCGATCCCATTCCATTGAAGCTCAGTATGATTAGAACAAGATAGCGAAAGTTCGGTATGCAGTGCTTCTTGATAGGCTTGCCTGACCGAGGGCTGAGACAATTTCTCATTTTCCAATCGGAGGAGATGCTTGGTGCTCCTCCCGGTAAAGTTCATGGGGGAACTACAGCGTACAAAGGCATGATCAGAGTCGTCGCAGGTACTCCAGTACGACAGACAATCCAGGATGGAACTACGCCACCTGTAACTTATGGCGATGTGGTCAATTTGGGTCCATCGCTGGCCAACTACAGAAGGACATTAATTGGCACTTCGGCGCCCACTGTGTTTAAAAGCAGTGCTAGTAAGACGCAACTGGTGCTCCGCACACAGTTACACAAGGCGCTCGCCGTTGTCAGTCCCTTCGGAGTTAAGCCCATACTTACCACCCAGCTTAGCTTCTGAAGAGCTCAGACGTCCTACTTGTGCGTTCATATCCCCTGCAAGTACTAGGATCTCTGAACTAGTAGCACTGCGTAGTAGCGCGTTCAGTTCGTGATAGAATGTGTCCTTGACAGCATTAGAACAGCAGTCAATGGGAGCAAAAGCGGAAAGCAAAGAAACAGTGTTTTGTACTACTTCGTGAATAAACCTTAGCTGATGTCATCAAATGGGCTGCACATAAACGGCTGTTTACCGGAATCCAAGCAACCAACGACGGTTCAGCCTTTGTGCTAAGAACGATACCTACATCAGCTTGAACCGTGAGTGCTGCATCGGCGTCTCCGGATGCGTGGAACCAAAAGCGAGAGGATAAGCCGGGTGCATCATCGTCATCATCATCATCATCATCGTCGTCATGATCATCATCATCATCACCGAATATTACATTTGGGTGATTACCCCATGTTGAGACAACTACTTCATCTGCGCACACCAAGCTGCACGCGAGGACACCGGTATAAACTTATCGTCCCGGATTTGAAGCGGGTCGCCCATCAACTCTGTTTCGAACGCAGAGTGGTGAATGTCTGGAACGACCTGCCTCAGCATATAGTAGAAGCGAACACCGTGTCTAAATTCAAGATGCTACTAGACCAACAATTTGCAGAGGCAAAGTACAAAGAGCGAAACGATAAATAAAAAGTTCATGTCCGAAAACGATGAATGATGCAGCTACACAGAGCAACCTCTACTCGCTGCTTCGCACCAGTTCTCAGTTCTCATCATCATCAACAGCAGTACATCAGCCATTTGAACTGATGCTTCGCTGCCATACAACCATGAGGACCTATGAAATAAAGAATAAGAAGAGGGAGAGAAGTAGGACTTACCTGAAAACCTTAATGCCCTAAGCAAACATTCAGGGTCAAGGCGCCTACACCTTGTGTAGACAACATACCGTCACAAACAACTGGCTATCGTGCAAAGATAAGGCGGCATCGGCGAGACAGCTTCCTTGCGGCTTTCACTGCCACGCGTCATAATCAGCCATTACCCCGCAGATAACTCAGCACTAAACACACTTTAAACAGACAATCCGATTAGGAGACGGCAGCAGACGCGCCACTGGTGTCTAATGCGAGCCATGTCCTGTAAAGTCTCGGGCCAAGCACAAGGTGAGTCACGTGGACTCCAACCCGGAAGGCGAGACGGATCAACGGCACCCAGTTTGGCCGTCAGTGACTTCATTTCCCGCTGCCAAGTCAACTTCTGTCCACCTAGAGCCTTGCGCCATCCGACACCTGGTAGACTAAACAAGGCCCTCCTAGGTAAGCGGTGAACAGGCATGCGTAGCACGTGCCCGAGCCAAGGTAACTTATTCAGTGCTATCTGTTGTTTTAGGGAGCTAGCATGATCATCACCACCTAGTACTCGCCTACGCACATCATCGTTGCGGACACGCTGGTGCCATCCGACACCAGCAATGCTTCGCAAACAACGATGATCAAAGACTTGAAGGCGCCTCAGATCATCAGACCGAAGGGGCCAAGTTTCACTACCATAGAGCAGAACGGCCCTCACTGTGGCCTTGTATACACGGCCGGGTGCAGTCAAGTCAACAACCCAGTAGTGTCATTGATCCTAGTTTCGGACACAACAACACAAGTCGATACTCAGTGTGTTCAAGGTGCGTGCGAGTGCAGCCTGTTGACCTGTTTTGCTTAGAGTGCGAACGTTGAACGTCGCCATGGAATCAGGACAGCGTGGCCTTATAAGGGACTGTTGCCGATAGGTGTCCACTGCCTGTCGCGAGAAGGTGGCTGCAGATGGTTATCTAGTGGCACTTGGGTTGCTGTCAATTAGGCTGGGAATTTTGGTTGGCGGCATCCGGTTTCGGATTTGCCCGTCACTGTGCCCAGCCACAGGACGCCTGCACATACAGAGGGACCATGGGTGGCTTGCGCTGCACCACCCACAGCTCCAACCGCACACCTCATATTCAGTGTAAACCCGAAGGTATAAGACCGGGAGGCATGTGGATGGGAGCCACGTTTCATCAACGGAGCCGGCCCGCACTCCTTCACAGGCAAACACAAGCACACTGTATTTGGGGAATAAAGCGCACACAAGGCGGTGGATGGACCGTAGTCCGCTCCACACTGAGTGCATGGAACCATTCTTAGAGTCTAGTACGGCCACAAGGAACGTGCACTCCGTCCCCTCCAGCAACGACCAACTATCTCCTAGATCCAGTATGAAGGAGGTAGTGGGTAATAGACAGGTAGGCACTTTGCCAAGATGCACATCAAGCGCAGCCACACCGGGGATATCAAGCAACAGCCAAACACTTGAAACAAGATGAAATAGAATAAATCTACGGATGTATACAGATACGGTGGCATAACTTCGGTAAATTACCATATGAAGTAAGTTGGTTAGTAACGAATCCGCGATAAGTACAAAATGTCCACAAGTTACTTAAAACTGCTACAAACGCAGCAAAGTTACCGAAGATAAGCGCAATTAGTGTAAGCAACGTGCCAGTTAATAGAAGATTATTCAGGTAGGCAGAACAAAGCAAAGTGGGCTGAAATATATCCAGCTTAAAAAGACCTAGTTTAAATGTAATTGGTGTAGCCCAACTGCAGTGAAGAAGCATCAAGAATGCAACATCAGCCTCAGCATGGGGCAAGGTTGGGAATTATAGGATTGTTAGTACTGGGGGTCGGGTTGGGAGGAATAGAAAGAGATGGAAGCGAAAGAAGGGAAGCGCCAGCAGTAGCATGTTTTCGCTTATCCGCCCTGCTGTATGAAGCAGATAAGGCGACCCTTGATAATCTGCGCGACGGCCGATGCAGGATGAAGTTTATGTTTGAAGAAAATGTCATAGTTGTATATGGGCTGATACTGCCAGGGTGCCCAGACCTAGACAGTAGGACGATTACGGTCCTCATCCAAAGCATCTGGCTCAAAAGCCTGTCCGCAAGGCATCAGGGAGGTGGCAATGATCTAGTTTTACAGAAATGGACGCCATCCCATTTCAAACCCCCAACATGGAGGACTAGGAAAATGAGTTTGTCTGATCTCTCCCCACTGACCAACCTGGTGGGACTAGCTCTCAAGGGGCCCGGAAGCACCGCCCAGTACAGCTCAATGGGTCAGGGAGGTATGCAAACCGTCTCCCCACGTTAAGGTCCAGTTTCGTTACGACGAGGTGCACCGTTTTCATGACGGTGTTAGGCTCAAGGAGGGGTTGCATACAGCCATTGTGGAACGGCCTACAACTCAGCCACTACCTGTATTGGTGCGGTCCGTATAATTCGCCAAGCTCTGCCTATTGAAGGAGTGTAGGTCGGCTCCGTTGAGGAAATGTGGCTCCCATCCACGTGCCTCCCGGTCTTATTCCTTCGGGTCTACAGTGGATATGGGGTGTGTGGATGGAGCTGTGGGCGATGCAGCGTAAGCTATCAATGGTACCTTAGTGAATGCTCTGTCTTTTCCTCAATGCCGGATTCTTCTCCATCAACAAATATGATTAGTGAGGCACAGTAAATAAATGCCCATCAGGTTCAGACCATAATTGTCCAAATGCACTGAGGGGATCAGAAAAGTAGTAATTGAGCGTTTCAAACATCGCACTATCGGTCGAATTTGACCCAATCGGCGTTTGGCGAGGCACCGCACACTTCTGGTGGAGAAAGTAGTCACGAATGCCTAGCTCAGTCCGCTGGCATTTGGAATGGCATAGAGTAGATCTTAGGGTGTATCTACTGTTTGCAGACCTTTACATTGCACTTAGTTATGCAAATGTTGTTTTAGACACCTCAGGGCTACTCCTATCAGCCTGGCCAAGTGCCAGAAGTCGGACAATTTAACTTCCCTGGTACTATATGTTGTGGACTGGTGTGCATTTCCGTAAAAACCCATCCTACGGACCTCCAACAACTTCCCGCTTTCGATAAGCCCGCTAAACGTTTTGGCGGTAAGATACGGATGCCTTAATAGTATCCCAGCCAATGTATAGCCATGGCTTTTTTTAATCAAAATTCAGCGCAATGCTGCATTGGCCATCATGTAGAGACAGAAGGGTACAGTGGAGCAAGCAAGTAAAGATAGGCTATGGCTGATATTTGTCACCTTTTCGACGAACTCATGTGCATCTCGATTCGAATTAGTAGCCTACTTTCCGTAGTCACTAAGTATAAAGAGAAACTGTAAATAACATTGAAAGCTAATTACTTGCCACCACAGAAAACAAGTATTCTGTCATAAAAGGCTGCTTATCTTTCCAAACATCCCAAGCCACTCAGGTGGGTTCAAATAAGGACACAAAAACATAAGGCAAAAGACTGCACATGCAGTAGATTGGACACCTTGGGTAATGTTGCACGGCACACATCGAAAATGAGAACAAATGGCTCTCATGTGCCTATCCAACAAACTGAGTATAGGTATTTCGTCGACAATCAGGTGCCCACACAATGGGACATCGATGCTGTAGGTTGCATCCTAGCTGGCTAAGCCGATTGGGCGCTACAAAAACATCAGTTAAAGTAAGTGCATGGGGCAGAGCTAGACAATGTTTGAACGTAATCACTGACAGTTTTAGTCCACTTTGAGTCTGATATTGCCAGTCTATGAATTTAACATGATACTGCAAAACGTTGCCAGCTGAGATAGCACAAGTTTTTGAGACTAAGATACGTTAATGGGTCACTTGAGCTCCCCGGAGACCCAAATATATTACTAGATGCCAGCAGAGCGAGTAAGCGGGCAACGGCTGTTTCTTAACCGTACTGCCTTAGGTCTAGTGGATGTCGATGCGCCAATTAGTACTCTTGGGTGTATGGACAGCGATGGGCCCAACTGGATCACGTTATAAACCTCTAATGGCGTGCTCCTGTTGATCTGCCTAGAAAAACTGTGGCGATCTTGATGACATTTGTCCCACACCGGATTTTTTGACCCCATCAAACAGCCGGATCAAACAATTCCCTTGATTCGGAAGCGAGAGGCTGTCCCAGCCCACCATTAGGTAGCCGAAAGGAAGTCTTCTCGGATTACGCCATGGGCATCCCGCTCTGTGGATCCTGAGCTCCACTGGAACAGGACTTCTGTTGCCAAGTATGGCGTTATAGATCCAGGCATGAGATACCCAGTAGATCGACGACCCCTTTGGAGACTTGAACGAAGACCCTTACTTGCATCATGAAAGCAAATGGGTTATCAAGTGAACTAAAGTGAAGCCTATGATGTGCTACATGATACTGATTTAATCGTGCTATCGAATGATGATGGGTCGGATAGACCATATATTCACTCCGCCACAGGTGCTAGAGCAGCGCCACGCATACCGTAGACCGACAATAACTGTATTCCTCGATTACAAGAGTGTGTTCGATTCAGTCGATCAATCGACTCTGTTCGAAATACTTGCGCGGAAAGGTGTTCCCACGAAATATGTGAACATCCTTCGTGCTCTATACTCGAACACCACAAGCCGCGTCAGGGTCTACGGTAACTTGTCGGATAGATTTCCGACCACAAGTGGCGTTCGTCAGGGTTGTCCGATTTCCCCGTTTTTGTTCAACTTCGTCGTGGATTCTATCATGGAGTGTTCCCTTGCGGTATCTCACGATGTAGGCTTTGAAGTGCTGCCTGACGAAAGATTAGTTGATCTTGGTTATGCAGGCGATATCGCCTTGCTTTTCGATGATGTTGCGGCGGCACAATCAACCCTGAATAGCCTGTCTAGAGTGGTCCCATAATTTGGCATGTGCTTTGCACCTTCAAAGTGCAAAGTGTTGCTGCAGGACCACCAGCCACTTTATGACCCCCTGGCCCCTGCTTACGAGAAACTCGAGGTGGTTGATCAATTCACTTATCTTGGCAGCTGCATCAGCAACGATGGGCACATAGAAACTGAAGTCAATTCAGGCATTGAAAAGGCCAGAGCTGCCTTCTTGAACCTGCGGCATCTATGGCGATAGATGGGGATTTCCCTCCATCTGAAAGACCGTGTATACAAGGCCACAGTGAGGGTCGTTCTGCTCTATGGTAGTGAGACTTGACCCCTTCGGTCTGAAGATGTGAGGCGCCTTCAAGTCTTTGATCATCGTTGTCTGCGAAGCATTGCTGGTGTCGGATGGCACCAGGGTGTCCGCAACGATGATGTGCGCAGACGAGTACTATGTAGTGATAATCATGCTAGTTCCATAGAACAACAGATAGCAATGAATAAGTTGCGTTGGCTCGGGCACTTGCCACGTTTGCCTGGTTACATCTTACCTAGAAGGACCTTGTTCAGTCTACCAGGTGTAGGGTGACGCAAGGCTCGACGTGAACAGAAGTTGATCTGGCAGCGGGAAATGAAGTCACTGACGACGAAACTGGGTGCCATTGGTCCGTCTCGCCTACTGTACTGGAGTCCACGTGACCCGACTTGCGCTTGGCTCGGGACTTTACAGGATATGGCTCGCAACCGACACCAGTGGCACTTCTGCTGCCGTCTCTTGGTCGGACTGGCTGTTTGGTGCTGAGTTATCTGCGGGGTAATGGCTGATTATGACGCGTGGCAGTGAAAGCCGCAAGGAAGCTGTCTCGCCGATGCCGCCTTATCTTTGCACAATAGCCAGCTGTGTATGACGGTATGTTGTCTACACAAGGTGTAGGCGCCTTGATCCTGAATGTTTGCTTAGGGCATTAAGGTTTTCAGGTAAGTCCCACTTCTCTCCCGCTTCTTATTCTTTATTTCATAGGTCATCATGGTTGTATGGCAGCGAAGCATCAGTTCAAATGGCTGATGTACTGCTGTTGGATATGTCGGATATGGTGCAGTCACCCATTTAATGGTGCGCCTGCATCTGGTTTCCTGCCTTCCGCTCTTAGTAGTCCAACCTCTTGAATACATTTTCCTTGCATAGTTTTTGCATTCTAACTCATTCCGTCCCACACTTTTTATTGTTAACCTGAGGATGTGAGTGGTGGCAACTGGATCCACCGCACTTCGTTAACCAAGGCATAGTTGTTTAACCGGAACGAACTGCATTTTGATAATTAAGCGGTTTATCAGACCCGAAAATACGATAATAAATGTAACTTAAAGGAACTGCAATATCAGACCAACAAAATGTAGCCCAATGGGAGCTATGCTACCATCGATAATGCAAGCGTCATGAAAGGATACTTACGTAATTCTGTCGCAAATCAGTGTGATTGTAGTCGATACCGTCATCCATTATGGTGAGCACTACCCCTTTACCAGTGTACCCGAGGCTCCACGCCTCAAGAACGTTCATATCATAATCTGTTTTCTGGATTCCTCTGAGCTAAACGGTAGGGAAATATGGGAAAAGGTAAACGAAGAAAAAACGAGCGATAGAAACAATTACGTATATTAATAATTTGTCAACACAAGGTGACCAAGTATAAGGGCACTTATATCATTTCACCCTAGTGCAATGCCAGAAGTTTCGATCGGAAAATATAACTGCATCATCAAAAGCACTGCATCTGCAATTTTGTTTGATGCCTCGCCGCCCTAAAATCGTGACGATTACTAAAGGATAAGGGGACTTGTTGAAAAAGTGAAATGATCTAAGTCAACATGTATATACATATATTATGGCGGTGAATAAGACACCAGGATAGGAAAAATGATTCGCCAATACTTACTATGTACCACATTTCTGGGTACAGTGGGTCATTCCAACGAACGGGGTTTGCTGAACGTTTAACGCGTTTCAGTGGTATTTGTTCTTCCATCCAAAGCAGCTAGAACAAAAATAACAAACTCGCATGTGACATACAGAAGTGCCCCTCAGGCAGCGAAGGTGCCTTGAGTGATTTATTTTCTTCCGAGAGCTGACGCGGATTAGATACATATCCTTGTGACCCAAAAGCTGAGGAACCAACGATTTGCGATATTGATCAACCAACTTTGGACACGACTTCTAAACCCATGCAGTTGGCTACTCTTTTAGCAGCAAAATATCCGTTCGTTGAAAGAATAACCCACTCTCTATACTCCAAAAAACATCTATTGGCTGAGCACATGACATTATTATTGAATGCTTGGAGAAATTTCAGTTGGACTGCCAATAGTGCTATAAGGAGCCACTGTTGCATGCCAAAATAAAGTTATAATCCATGTGATAATCTGTATTTCCTTAATCGCAGACAAGCTGAAGGCAGGAGGAAAAGCACGCCTGCAGCTGGTGCAGAAAGGAGGCACCTTGAGACATTTTGGGCCGCGTGCATTGGTACAGCAAGTACGGTCAAGTGCAATTTCGGGGGGACTAGAACGACACGAGAATCCCGTGAATGTTCCAGCTTGAGCCAAGAAATGATGAAGTGCTCAGAGTTTGTGATTGACCTGTACTGACCTGGAGATTTATTCCTTGGGTTGGTTCATTGCGTTGTAGAGAGCAGATGGGAGAACCCTTGTCAGCTCCCTGGATTCCCATTCAATGTGTGATGGCTGCGTGTCGTAGTGTGACGAAGTGCTTCGAGAGATCACCACACTTTCAGCGGGAGCAGCGGGATCCTAGTGCATTAATTAGCTGTTTGTGTAAAAGCCTCATGAAACATTTCTCCGTAGATGCGTCAACAATCTCCTTTGGTTAACTGTACTACTCATTCACCACCCGGGTGGACAAGGTGAGGTCTCAGTAACCGTGGAGCCTTCGTGGTTTGAACAGCTTCCATTTGTGACCTCGTGTCGAGCAGTCGGCATTAGGATGGTGGTGCTGCAGTAGCTGTTTCCGAGTTAACCAAGAAGGACGCGTCTACACCTTTTATCAATTAAGTGGATCATTCCTTGGGTCATTGGATGATACAGGGCAGAAGGACGTTCGTTTTTCCGCTCCGTCACTTACCGATCGTAACGGGAGATAGCCTGGGTCATTGCGGAACAAGATCCCACCGAGAACCACTGAAGCTGCATTGGAAACAGCTAGATCCACGTAAACCAAAATGAGAATCCAATAAATTCTTGAAACTTTCCTCGGTCTCGGCATCGACGATGTATTAGGGAAGGCGGTTACATTTATTCACAACGCGTGGATAAAGCCAGACTGGATAACGTTAGATGACTCCTCGGTTTAGAAAGTTTTAATCTGTGGTCTCCTGTTGAACTCTGGGTTGAGATGAATGAATGCCTGTAAGTCCCTCCCCAACTCTCCTCTAAGAATCTGTGGGGCGAAGAGCAAGCTTCCGCCATGACGACGGTAACCCAAGGAAATCGGGTTCACTTTTTGAGTCGGACACTATAGGACAGATACCACAGCTCAGGAAAAAGTGGATCCACGTCGTTGAACCTTCTCAATCATATCACATTCGAGTTTCTTAAGAGGGTAGGACGCAGGTGGCCAGTATTCGAGAGGCGGGCGTACATGTGAAGTAAACGGGAGTCGGAAGAGCCCCGGGGTCAGGCACGAGAAGGCTCTAGGTATAGGGTGAAACATTCTGCAGGCAGCATAGATCTTTTCCTTGGTATTTTCATTAGGTATGAGGTCAGCCGAAAGTATCACCCCAGTTCCATCACCTAGGTGAAGTTTCCAAACGAGGAATCACCAAAAGGGTAGATTGCAAATACAGCACACGCACCAGCTGATAGAACCGAACATTTCGCGCGATCCAATGGCAACTGCTACTTAATTGACCAAGCACGTTGCAAGTCGATGGAAGGTTCTAATTTGTCAGCATCTTCCATACTGCATAACTCCAGCCACATCTTTAGCTCGATGGCGTAGATTGGGCATTGCGCTTCCAAACACAACATTAATAAAAAAGGTCTCATCCATATATATTTGGGAATGCTCCTAAAGGCAAGCAAATGTCATTCACCTGGCGCGAAAACACCAAAGCGAGCACCGCGTTGGGGGCCCAAGCCCAAACCAAGGCTGGCTGGCCGAACAACCTCCTCGTGGTGCCAGCTGGGTGGATTGGGTTTACCCCTTCCAGCAAATAGTTCGGCGGCAGTGTTCCAGGACGTGGTGGGTTTCCGCCTGGCAAGCGTTCTCCCTATAAAAAGCCACAAATGTCCGCTTAACAACACTGTGACGTGGCGGTTGTGACTCGCCACCAACTAAAGTCACCCATTGCTTATCCGGACGACCGCTTCAAGTCCACAGCCATCAAGCACCCATTTAACACTGGCCACACGTTCAAGCACGATCAAAAAGACTGGAATACATTTACGAACTCCATAAACTCGGCTAAACACGCCCACATACACACATACATACATTTATATATCAACCTATGCGACAATCTCATTGATCCATTTTACATTGACTGATCACAGTTTGTACTATTAACATGATCATGTCTGTGCAGACGTGCCTCGCTTAGTCGAGAATAAACATTTTATTTATTTATTTATTTATAACAAGGCACAGCAGGCAAGCTTCCGCCATGAGTACCAGAGAAGGCTGGGATGGCGCAGATCGCGTTAGGTTTGATGAAGTCCTAGTCATGCTCAAGGCTCATATTCAGGCAGATTGCCTACGCTTAAGCTACACACATGCTGGGGGTATATCCGCAAAACTCATGTGATGCCATCTGGGCTTAGCAGTAACTAGTGAGCGTGGTGCTCACCAATTAATCTTTCAGACATTTTCACTCATACGTGAAATATGATTGCGCGGTGTGCCCGCCCACTTCATCGCTGAGCTGTCCGTGGCACCCACGTGAATGAGTGTGGATTACTTGACCCTTGGGAATAATGACATGAAGTCGCTCACAAATCGTTGTCAGTGATCGACTGGAATGGAAGTTGGACTAGTGATACCGGAAGAAGGTGGGGAGCGTGTGGTCCGCAGTGGGTTTCAGGTGTCGCATGCCCACTGAGAGAAATGTAGAAAGGTCTGCATTTCAGTGATATAACGATTCGAATCAAGCTGAGTTTTCGCGCATTGCACATTGGCATTCACTCCTAGGTTTCGCTCGACTATTGCCTTTGTTATGCCGTTATTCGACTTAGCTTGCTCCTGGGAAATATTTCATTTCGTTGCGTCATTGTTCTCATTGCGGTTGCTAAGACATATAAATGCCTGAGTGGTTCCTCCAAACGTTCACACACATGGCTTGTATTGTTGCGAACCAGATCGAATGCGCTGTTTTACCACGGGCGACAGACACAAACAGAAAAGTAATTCCGCAACAATCGGGGAGGTTATGCATTTCTGCCAGTTTCAAAAAATGAACTCGGTTTGGGGTTATTGTTAAACCGCAGTGAATAGCGACGCACATGATTCGCTTACCTCAGAACATTGCAATCATTAGCCGGTTGCCAGGTACTTAGAAATACCCGCGTTCCCGTCCCTTTTCAAATGGCAAATCACGCGTTGCGATGACGCAAATTGACACTCGACTTTGAGACCGCTCCAGGTCAGTGACGTCACGCTTCAGTTTGGTTGCCTTGCTTGAAGTGCTTGTGCTATAGGGTGGTGCCCAGCTTAGAAGACCATTTCCGCTTGCCCAAACCACACCGTCATCCCAAACCAATGAGGAAGGTCACGTTCAACGATAGAGAACTGTAAGGTCTGGGTTTCTAATCTATAGATGTAGAAGCTGTGGCATCGTATGCAGAGTATCTTACACGCAGGTAACCACAGTATCTACGAGAATTGCATCCATCAGCTGCGCAGCTGTCGAACTGATTGTGAACCATTTTAGAGATAAGCGTTGTTATCATCAAGCAATCGAAGTATGCCACTAAAGTGAAAACTGTGATCGGAAGCTTACATAAGTCTCAGACTGATACGACACAGTACAACAGTGACATAGCGGAGAAACCAATCCCATCGCGACGCGACTGGCTTTAGCTTGATGCGATGGTTCGCCTACCATCGCGACCTATTGAACTTCGCTCGGTGGCAACTACTTGGTGCCATCAGAACTGCTCTTACTAAGCGTCTCAACGTTTAGAGGTCGTATTAACTCAGTCGCACAATCCTCTTCGAGGGTTGGTATCGGTTCATTGTCCTCTTCCCTTAGAACCGCCATAGGAGACGACAGGTTTTAGTGTAGCTCATAGCTCGATGGGCGTAGAGCACGAGTGCAACGCTTTGTCTCTGATCGTGGGAGTGCACTAAGCGGCGCTTAATGATCTGCTACCTCTCGCTTCAATCCAGGCCCCTTCTGGTAAAATAGGTACAATCCCGCGAATTCCCACATGCGGTTGCCTGTAGTGGCACATGTATTTCCCTAGATACTCAAAGGCTGTAGTCTGCCAGGTCTCAAGTCGTTCCCAATGAGACACCGAGATCACGCTGTTCAGTTGGACTACCTCCCCACTACATTGTGGGTCAAGCTGTTGAGCCAAAGGTTCTGGGTGGAGCCACTCAAGTGTGCCTCCACATACGTGACCGCGCTGGGTTTCAGAGGGTTGAGTAGAAGGCTAGAGGCAGGGCATATCAACCAACAACTCTCTTCCGGAATAGGCAGCAGGAGGGTATAATCTGCCCACTCGACCCGGTCACCAACACTACTTCTCCTCTACCCGTAACCATCTCTTCTCCCTGGTTTGTTGCCCAAGGCACTATCGCTGACCTCGTAAGTAAAGATTTCAAACTGATGAGCATTTCGCAATGGTTCATTTGACGTCCAAGCATTTTTGCAGGTCGGCCAACAGCAGCCCATACTCTTTTAAAAAACGTATTCGGTACTGGTGGGTGCTGTCTCCGAAACACATATAGAAGATAACCGCATCGGGACGAATCTTCTACTTCCTAGATCGGTATCTGCTGACAGCGATTGCCCTCTAAGCGCCTCTGGCGATACGAATTAAATAGCTAAAGGTTATTATGCTGTCCGTATCACCCTTTGCAAACCATGCACATTGCTATCCGTTGTTACTACCCGGTGTCTGCTTATATGCGACCGCGAACTCTTGCACACGGATCCGGGGTCCGCGTTGCATAGGTGTAGCCATCCGAATCAAGGTGACTTCCTGCGCTCTGCCGAAACCTGAAGAACCGTCCTTATCTTTAACTCTTCAGTTATGGCAATCCGCTTCCGACTGCGATCACGTAACAAAATCTTTACCGAATTCACCGGGGTTGCATTTGAAGCTGGAGGATGGACGAGGCGCTGGTCCTGTGCGTCACCTTGTTCCACTTACC